ACGCAGCACATATTGAACTAGTAGTGCTAGGAAGGACTGCAGCGGAGTGCGGACTATTAGAAGAGTCACTGGAACAGTCAGTTGAACTCGAGGCACCATCCGATTCTGGATCAGATGGACACGAGTCTGCAGGTTTAGTGCACCTCTTATCTTCACCATCAGATTCGGAGCTTGATGAGTCATCTGCCTTCTCACAATCACTTTCCATGTCAAAATCTTTATCATCTTCACCGACTATATACTCAACACTGTTTTCAAATGTCTCAAGTCTCTCAGGCTTCATCTCAATTCTTTGCCAGGGTCTCAACTCTACTGAGCCACGCAGTAATGAGTTTAAGCTGTGCTGTGCAGTCGCCTCATTAGAAAAGCAGTCACTGTTCGGAATTTGATATTTAGCCGCAGAAATCAAAGAGGGAGCTTCTTCAAATGGCGCTGAGTCCATGCAACGTGTCTCCGCATGCTTGTTCAACTCCCACACGTTATTGAAAGACTGATGGCACTTCTTGCAGAGGGGTGGCGAGTGTGCATTATCCAGGTGCGTCGACAGAGACGTCAGGCGTCGGAAAGTAACCTTGCAGATGTGGCAGGTGGCTTTGATATTGTGGCTTTTGTAGTGCGACATCAAGCTTGATATCTTGCGGAATTTTTGGCCACATTCCCAACATTTCGCCTCTGGGTGTGTATCATCCACCTGCCCTTTTGCGTATATACACCATTCATCTTCGCTGCTCGAGTCTTCAGACATAAGGAGCTGGTCAGTGCAACCTCTAAGTGGTCTGCAAGTTCAAGCAGAATGGACAGAATCACTTAAAACAAGTTTGGGAATAAATCTAATTTACAGGTTTCATACAAGCATCACAGCAGACATGCTATTCAATCTTAAGATAAAAGATTTAGACAATCTACTATTATGCAATACTATATGTGGTTTAGAACTAAAACAATTACACCATATAAATTGATTAGTTGACTGTCAAAAAATGTACCAGTTAATATGAGAATCGCTAATTCACCCAAGTCAGTTACCAAGCATAAATCTCTGAAATACCTCAACAACCAGTGGACAAATTACTATCTTATACAGACATTCTCTGTCCCCAGAGGATGATGCTACCATGAGGTTGACGTTTGTGACTTTGAGTGAAATATCTGGACAACCATTACCGTAAATGGATTGCTATTAAATTTGGTACAGACATCCATGTCCCCCCTGAGATGAATTATAACTATAATAACCTGATTTTGAAGAAATTCTATTTGACCAATACTAGGGTTTATGACTAAATACCTGCAAAATGACATTCCCATCAGCCTCAGCTGTAACTTACTTTCTATTAAGTGCTAATTAGCATATATGCACGCTAAACTAGGTTGGTGACTATGGAATTACTGCTTAACTACTTTCATAAAGGGGTCGATCACACCAGGTTATTACGATACACGATTATTGAGACTTTATTGATACTGATGCCTTTGTTTTATTTCTTGACTTTTATAAGGTATTCGATACCATTGAATACGCTTTTTTATTCAAAGTGATACATTTTTAGGTTTTGGAAACAACTTTTGTAAAATAATTAAGACGTTCGCGATTTCACCGAAATTGTTTATTTTTGCCACCCAAATCACTTATTAAGCTCGCTTTGCATAGTTTCTGAATCTTCGATAAGGACTTTGCAATTAGTAAATTTGCAGATGACACACAACCTTATAAAGAATAAATTTATGGTGGCTGTCGCCCTCAGTACGGTCTCAATATTCTCTAAAGCCTCAAGATTATCTCTTAATATTCAAGAATGTGAGCCCATTCCCATTCATTCATCTAAAGTAAATATTAAATATTTATGAAAAGTTTTACCTACAAATGCTATCAGGAGGGAAGATATTTTTCTGACCGTTTAATAAATATCAAAAAAAATCACTTAGTCACTGGTTAACCGGAGACCTACATCTTTGGTAGAGTGTAGCTATCTAAAAGAGTAGGTATTTCCAAAGTAATCTGTGTCACCACCTATATGTCTCTTCTAATAATAATAATAATAATAATAATAATAATAATAATTAAAAATAATACTTTTTCCAGTTCCTTTGGACAAATAAAAGCCATTATAGTAGGAAGTCACAGCTAGTCAAGAAGTATGAAAAGGGTGCCATCAAAGCCTTGGACTAAGATTAACTGGTTGAAAACATAGTTATCCACATACCAAGATCTCTATTTAAGAAAATAGGTGGGCTTGAATTTTTTCTACAATGTGATTTGAGGTGACCAAGATTCCTGTTAAACCATCAAACTACCAAAAACAAATTCTTCAATACTAGAAAATGATATTTACCCACAACTTTTCTCCCCATGGATCCAGCCAACGGAATAACAGGGTCATTACAATCAAAAGGAAATCATTGCTTAAGAGTGATTGCTATGAGAAGGGCATTGTGTTTGTGAATGATATATTTGATGATAATGGTAAGTTCTTAGAACATATTGCTTTCTACAAATCTAAACTGTACTCAGAGAGAATATGATAAGATATGTAAAGCAATACCACTGCCATTATTACAGCAAATTCAAAACACATTGTTGGCTGTGAAATAAGACCTATACCAAGCTTACCTAATCTGGTAATTAATGAATGTAACTTCTATGATAAAAAGTGTAATAACAATTTTTTAGTGAATTTTTAAAATCTTGAAAGTATTTTGATTATAACATAGGATTGCGTGTAGGGGTTCTAGGTACGGATACCTTGTCTATAGAGTATATCACATTTCAAATTCATCAAATGGCCACTTCCCCTAAAATGAAAGAAACGCACTTCAAAATAATTTATAAAATTTATCTGACTTTCTTAGAAAAAGGTTCAAATTTGAAGTAGATCTCTTTGTATTTTGTGAGGCGGCTGATGAGACTTTGGAAAAATTATTCTTTTTATGTCCCGTGTCCAAAAACTTCTGGTCTGATCAACATAACTGGCTGTGACTTAAGATCAATGACATCCTCTTTTATATGGACATTTTAGATCCACCCCTATCTGATTTGGTGAATATGATTGTTCTCGTGGTTAAATATCACATTCATTGTAGTAAGTGGAAATATTCTAAGCCTTCTTTTTCATCCTTCATGAACGATTTTAACTTGTTCTTTTCCTCACTGAAAAATTAGTAAAATTACAAGAAATCTAGTCTAGTAAAATTACAAGAAAGATGTGTAGCGATATATCCAGGCAATTGCGGTTTTGATAATTCTCCCCTTGTATCCTGTGCCTAAATGAGGCTTTCTTGTTTTCTCTTCTCTAGCCCTTTTGCCTATCTAGTACCCCACTTTTTTTCTGTTCATAGTTTGTTTGTTCTTTTGTTGGTTGGTATTGTTTGTAGAACTCTTATTTGCACAGACAGCCATTGTACTGTACCTATGGATATATGTTTTTTTCCCCCTTCCCCAACGAGAGTTTTATCATCTTGTCAATATTTTTTTAAACAATAGCATTGTAATTGTGAGCTTATTAGCATTTAGCTCCACGCACCCCGGTGTCTAAGCACAGCCTCACAGAGCTGCTAACATGCCTGTATGCGCTCCTGTAGTCTTGTTCACTTATGTAATTTTTTTTTTAGTCTTATACAACTAATTTGTATTCAATATATTTTTTAGAGAATATAATAATGTTAGCAATTTGAAAGAGAGACCTTTGGGTCTGGGGAATTCTGACATTTCTTAAACCACAAAGCAGTTAATCGAAAAATATTAATTATAATATAATTAAACGACTTATTAGCTGCAGATCTAGTGTAGTCAACTTTTTGTGCCTTCACGTGACTTCACTGTAGGTGCTTGCTTGTCTCAGGTCAGCATAACCCAGTAACACTGTTTTCCCCACTTTTAGCTAACGGTAACTTTTAGCTCAGTGTAACACTGCACACCCAAACTGTACTTACCTCTAGTAACTGTTACTGAACCAAAAAACGGATGCCTACAGCACAGACCAAAGGTAAAATCAATTCTTGCCTCCAAACTAGAGGTGACGGTTCGTCCGAGCTGTGCGTTAACCAATACAAACCGCTAACGTTGACTTGTATGTGATGATTTGAATTTTCGATTTGCGAAATAACAGCCTCTCTTCAAGAGTTGTGTCTGAAGCGTATCCATCTGTAACGTTACAGGAGGCGATCGTACAGATACGATTCACAACATTACAAAAAGAAAAACCCCTTCAAATTTTACATTTGAAGACACCGTCATGTTGATGGCGTCCCCGACACCGAGCTCCTCCCATGGACGTATGGCTCCTCCATATCCGTTTAAAACCGGAAGACAGAGGCTTCAATCTCCCAGAATGCATCAGTGTTTCAGCTTAATATTTCTCAAAACTTATATTTATATAGTGTTTGACACTATGTAGTTACAAATCACAGCAGTTTTAGTCAGAGGAATTTCATTCAATGTCAATTTTACGAATGGGTTCAACTTAAAATTATTTTTAGGTTTACAAATGAACACAGGTGGTCTTGAATTGTCAATGTGCTTTTTTTACCTTTTTAATGTGAAGGTTAGTAGTCAAGTATCTTTTCGCTTGAGCAACGCTAAAAGTAATATTTGGACTATGCCTTTAAGAAACCTAACATCTCAGGATGTTGTTATTATCAAATACTTTCTGTACCTGATTTTCAATAAAATTTTTACCCCCCCCCCCCCCCCCCAAAAAAAAGCCAAAACAAAAACCAAATACTTTCTAATAAATGAAAACAAAATAAGCCGAACAAGTTTAAGAACAACAGGATGCCATATAGATTCATATGTACGTTATATAATATACAGTATAGCGAGGTTACGCGTCGAAATGATCCATAAAGTGGCGGAACTACTTATATTGCGATGTTTCCTAACGACTTCATTTAGCAGACGGATAAGATGCGTTTGATTGGTGACACACAGAATTACAGGCGGGTGGAGATTCTTGCAGCGCGTTGTTAGTCGAGAACCACTCTAACGTCGTACTGTAACGGGTAACGTCGAATTACGAAAAAAGCGCACCTAGTGGGACGCTTTAGCTAGCGTACGTTACGTCCACAGACGAGTGCTTCAGGTTAAACTTGTAACCGCTAAATATGCTCAAACGTCAACGAAAGTAATTGTCACAGGGTTAAAGTTAGCTGGGAGCAGGTTTCTAGTTTAGAAGATATTTCAGTGAAAGTAATTATCTTCAGCTCGCCTCTGCCTGGACGGGGATCATCGTTAGCTAGCTTTCTGTTGACACCAGCTGTAAGTGAATCAGGTGAGGAGAGACATGTCCGAGTCCGGCCACAGTCAGCCTGGGATGTACGGCCAGGGACGCAGAAGGAGGCGACGCCGGGGAGACCGAGATGCTGGACCTCCGGGCCAAAATCTGTCCGGTCCTAGTCGGGATCGAGAATACCAACCCAGGGAACGAAGGGTAATGCAAACACATATTACTGCCTTTATAACGAAGCATAGGTTGTTCTGGTTTCTGGTTTATTGTTGTTTAATGTTGTTTTCACTTTCATTTGTTTATTCAGGATGGGAGTGAGGATCCACCGGGCCCACTCATTCAGAAGACCCCCATCATTCTTGCTAAACCCCCTGGAGAAAGGGTAATTACGTTTATCTAGATAACTAAGCTGTTTTCGTAATTCCTGTTATTTAACACAAATAATAATAATACAATAACTATATCATTAGAGCGTTTTATTATCGAATTTAAGAAGAAAGTTTGGCAGCAAGTACATTTACATGAATTCCTTCCTTCACACTTTTGTCCAAGGCCATGTGGGGTACTTAGAAATTTACATAACTCTTTTCAGAGGTTAGGACTACAAACACAAATGTAGTTAATCGCAGTTAATTAGTGATGCCTCCAGAAAGTAAGGTTGATTAAGCGCCTCTTCCTTTAGCCTGTTTTGATCTATCAACATGCTGTTGTTGGATCCTTTTGAAGGCCAAGTCATCGCAGAATGCACCTGCGAGTGGAGCTCCAGTCCTGGAGAAGCCCATCATGCTAATGAAAGCCAGGGATGATGGAGGGAAGCCGGGGACCCCTCCAGAAGCAGCAGCTCAGCCCCCTGGTCCTGGGCCCTCCAAGATGGAGAAGGAAGGGCAGCGGCCCACCCAGCCTGTATACCAGATCCAGAACAGGGGGATGGGTGCTTCTGCATCGAGCAGCATTGTGGACCGTAAGTTATTATGGATTTCACAAACATACTCCACCTGGATGCACCTATTAAGGCCAAATTACATGTGTGGGGAAACATGTAATTTATTTCATTTGACTTGCAGCTATGGTTGGCCAGTCTAAACTCCTCCCTCCAGAGAAGATGAAGCACAGCATCAAGCTAGTGGATGATCAGATGAACTGGTGTGACAGTGCCATGGAGGTGAGTTAGTGTTCAATGAATTTAGTTGATTGTTGAGCCACTATATTTATACTGTACTCTAAGGAAGTTGTGTTTTATTGTGATGTGTTGCAGTATCTGAGGGATCAGACCGATATGTTGGTGGTGGGAGTCATTGGCCTGCAGGGAACTGGGAAATCTACGATCATGTCACTGTTATCTGCCAACACTCCTGAGGAAGATCCAAGGCAAGGGTGGCGCTAACACAAACAATAAGCTCAAGCTTGTCAACTTCTCAGTTACATGTAAATGATATATGAATTTCATTTATAAATAGTAAGTCCAACGTTAAAAGATGCTGACAAGCATGAGATGTTCCCATAATGACTCTAATATTTAAGAGGAATTTGAAACAATAGGAAATGTGTTTAATGTATAAGGAGGTTGGTTAAGACAAAACGGAGAAGGACTGAACTTGTTGAGGGATTTTTTTCTAAATATAAAAGTTACTGTTAGATTTGCAGTACTGTTAGTACAATATTAGACTAACCTGAACTACAGAATGGTCTAAAACTATAGCAGTGATACACAAGTGACATCAGCTGCAAAATTAATCATCTAAAAAAAAGGCATTGATCAAGGAGTAGAATAATCCACTAACTACATTCACTAATTGCAGAATTACAATCTTCACAATAGAAGAATGTAATATTAAAATCAGTAGTACATTTCAAGTGTTTTATCCCCAATCAAATTAAAGCTGCACTTAAAAAGTGATGGTGCTCTTTCTGAACACACAGGGGCGACATTGTAAACCCATCTGCTACTGTAGTGAGTGTCATATATATATATATATATATATATATATATATATATATATATATATATATATATATATATATATATATATATATATATATATATATATATATATATATATATATAATATATATATAAAATATATATAATATATAATAATATAATATATATATATATAAATATATATATATATATATATATATATATATATATATAATATATATATATATATATTATATATATATATATATATATATATATATATATATATATATATATATATATATATATATATATATAATATATATATATATATATATATATATATATATATATAAAATATATAATTAGTGGCCGAGAAGGAACGTAAACTTGTATTATGGATTTTAGGTAGATGTCTATGCATTTGTTAATGAAAGTTTAAAAATGTTAATATCTTTAAACCTATTTCCAAATCTTGAGAGAATTCCCAGGTTTTAGATTCTCAAAACAATTTCTGACGTGTACTTTCAGTGAAAGAAAGTTATGGAGGTCATCGTATTTGTTTGCGCAGGGGTTACGTATTCAGAGCCCAGACTCAAGAAATCAAGGAAAGAGGAGGAAACCAGAGCACAGGCATTGATTTCTTCATCACACAGGAGAGAGTCATCTTCTTGGATACACAGGTATGAATGAAGTAATATGGATTCGTAGTTGTAATCTTCTGTCAGAATAAAAGTCATGAACTGTATAAATTGAAAAAGAAGTTAGGATGAGACTGTAATAAAACTGTAAAAGAATTGTTTGTTTGTTTCTTTAGCCAATGCTCAGCCCATCTATTCTCGACCACCTCATCAATAACGATCGGAAGTTGCCTCCTGAGTACAACCTCCCACACACATATGTGGAGATGCAGGTCAGTGGCTGTCCTGCAGATGGCTGTGGGTGAAAACACTAGTTGTTTATGCGAGCACAGGCGCGTAACCACCAGGGCATTGGTTGGCAAATAAGTCTTTAGTCTTTCATTTTTTTACTACTTATTAGCTGGTGGGCCAATTTATTGTTTATATTCCATCCTTTACTGTGTGCCTGTTTAGCTCAACAGGACTCCTGTTGGAAGGATTCTGTATTCAATCCCCACTTGCATAATTTAACTCCCTTTTCAACAAATTGATTGTGAAGAGATTGTTTTACATGTTCACAAATAAGCATGTGCACGAGTGTGTGCCTCCCGGCGATTTGGCCACATCATCCTATGGACGCTTATTTTCATTTCCCCAGTATCTCCAGGCAGAGGAAATTCCTGTGTTTCTCATTCAAGGGAATCTGATCTGCTGAATCTGATGGCTTTTTCAGAGGTGTGTCAAGCAAGCCAGAGACCCTTTTGAATTTCCTTCAGATCTTTTCAAAGTAAAGGCTCTTAATTAAACATGACATAAAATCCTACTGTAAAGATGTTCTTTCGCTTTTATTTGTAGGCGCAATCACTTACGAGGAAGTGATTATGTGAGTAACTTTTGCTGTCATGACTGTAATCTGTTTTAGCACCAGCCACTATAATGTTTATTCTTTTGCCGCTATCAAAGTAATTTGGCCATGGGCCAGATATTATTGCTAATTAATGCCAACCACTGCTCTAGGTCCTCTGATTCATTGTCCAGTGGTTCTTAAGTTTTTCTGTCACGCCCCACTTTAGAAGCCTAAAAAAAGTTGAAGCCTCCCCAGCTCTAGCTAAAATTGGGTTTCATTTTAATCAATTAACAACAGGGGTGAATGAAATAAAATAAAAGCAAAATAGAGCCCATGTTCCCCCCCAGGGGGTGCTGCAACCCAGTTTGAGAACAGCTGTTTTTTCATTTTAATTCTTCTGTACAAAAACATTCACTTCTAACTACATTTGTACTCTGTATAATCTAAGTCTCTTCAGATCGCCGCCTTCCTGTTTACAGTGTGCCATGTTGTCATTGTGGTTCAAGACTGGTTCACTGACTTAAACCTATACAGGTGGGTACTTGTTTGTCTGCGATGGGTCTGTGTTATACTTACTGCCCATGCACAGGACAAAAGAAGAGCGTTGCTCTCAGGAACGCTCTGACAATAACTTGGGATAAATATCCCCTCCTGTCACAGGAATGTTGAGTATTTCATCTGGTATCTTGAGGATATTTGTTTTCTGCTTTTTCATAACTTCAGTAATGCCACTTGGTATTTTAGTGAACAAATGTAGGCAAATCCAGACCTGTTGAAACAGACCGCCTATGTATCCATCTTACATGTGCTGACACTCATTCAGCTACACATCATTATCTGACACCCACATGAGCAGCAAAAAATTTAAAACCCTCATTTGTTATCGAATTGTTGTTATTTTTCTTTGCCCCGGACTGATGCAAAACTACATTACCAGCGATTATCTTACTGCATATTACTCCAGTGATGATATAAATCCACGTCATAACCATTTAATGTTTTAAGTCAAGTACTTCCCCTGAGTTCAGGGAAAGGGTTGGAAAACAGTGCTTACATTAATCTGTGTCACAGCAGTCCTACATTAGACTCATTTTTAAAATATGCCACTATTATCATTAATCAAATGGCCTTTGTGTCTGTTTTTTCAGGATGATTGAATAAAATATTGAATAATTAATGAGACAGGTTTTTGATATTTATTTATTAATCGAGTAGTAAAAAAGATCTTTAGAATAATCAATACATTACTTGTTAAATTAATGAACCAACTGAAAAAACAGCCACTACAGTAGTTGATTTTAAAAATAATTGTTAGGTGCAGCCCTATGCATGTCTACATTATTTTTAGTTATCTTATCGATATATATTTTTTATATGTGATGACATCTCGTTGCACCCTCAGTGATCATATCTCTTCTGCATTGACAATTGCCCAACCTTTGATGCTACTGTTTACTTTAACGTTCAGAAAGTTTACTGTAGTGTTTGTGAACAGGTTTCTTCAGACTGCTGAGATGGTGAAACCTTCCACTCCGTCTGCAAGCCATGACAGCAGTGGCTCTTCAGGCAGTGACGATGGAGCAGAGTACTATCCTCATATAGGTGACTTTTAATGTCATCCCACCTCACTACCATCCCAGCTTAATGATATCAAAATTTAAGAGTTTCTCGTTTAACTTCCTCCCTCATTCAGTGTTCCTCCAGAATAAGGCCAGACGGGATGATTTCTGCCCACAGAATCTGAAGAACATGCATATGGTGGTGGACAAACTAATGGCCCACTCTCATCTCAAATACAAAGGTTAAAAACTACAAGAATATTCTTTTCATACATCGATATCTATTAAATCAGAGTTAAAATATAACAAACAAAAAGTGGTTAGGGACAATACCATGGGTTATTTGGTTTACAGATTTCATTAACAATATAGTTGATTAATTACTTAATAGGTTGTTTTGTTTTTAGGCACATTGTCCATGCTTGACTGCAATATTTTCCCCGGTTTGGGGCAAGATTACCTGGCAACTGAAGTCAACATGTTCCTCCTTCCTGTGCAGGAGAATGACGGGGAGGATAATCTGACTAAAGCAGGTTATAGAGGAACTTATCTTTGCATAATACTCATTACATAAAACTCAACTGTCCTCCTGTGTAAGATGGGAATTAATCTTTGTACCATGCTCAGGGTTGGGAACATACCCGCTGTTCTCTCTGCTGCCGGGGTACAGAGGACATCCTGCCTTCTCCACAATGGTTTCAAAACTCCGCAGCCAAATACTGGCCATGCCCCGCTGTCAGCTGTCCCACACAATCCTGACTGAGAAGAATTGGTAAACACATTTGTCTCTGCCCACCTTCTATTTATAATGATATAAATGTTATTTATGTTCTACAAACCAAAAGCTGAGTGCTTTACAGGACATAAACAATGTAAAACAACCAAACAGGATAATAGAGATGTTTTAAAGGCGAGGGCATCATTTCCAGGCATCATTTCTACTTAATGTGTTATTTCCAGTGAACAGAATGAAATTTTTTTGTAATTAGGACCCGAGCACGAAAGTGCAAGGAACCTATTGTTTTTGCTCAGATTATTATTATTTTTTCTCCCAGATGAACTCATTTTTGAAGGCCCTAGGATACTCGAATCCTCATGAAAATTTGCACACACCTCAGGTCTGGTGGGAAATCCAATGTTCTGCAGTGATTGGGGTCAGGCAAGGCAAGAGGGCTCAATAGCACCCCTAAACAAACAATAGGTTTTGGACAAAGTTTCTTTGATCTTCATGAGATGTGGTGGGATTATTGCTCTTATTACAAAGACCACATTTCTGCTTTTAGGATGCTCAAAGAGCCACATAACTTTGCAGCCAGACTCGAATGGGTAATATTTGTATTTGATGTCATTTTTGGGACTTTGGATTGCACGTTGTCTCTATAGTGCCCCCTAAAGGCTTTTTAGCCTTCACATGGCTAGGAATGCTTGAATGCACATCAAAAAGTGTTGGTTTTTATTGTCTAATATGGTTTGGGGGGGTGGTTGTGGAAAAATGGCTCCGTGACGCCCCCTGCAAAATTTTAAAAAATTAGCCCCTGCCGTACGTTGTACCAAGCTGAACCAAACTTGAGTAACAGATGCATCTTCTCTAGACTTAAAAATAACCCTCTTGGAACCATACCTAACAGGAAGTCGGCCATTTTGAATTTTTTACAAAATCTGAACCAGTTTACACCCTCCGTACTTTTACGAACTCCTCCTAGAGCTTTAACCCGAACAACTTCAAATGTGGGCAGCGCAATCTTAAGAGCCTTCTGATTTTAAATTGCGAAGCTATTTTGATTGTTGAATTGATGTCTCGCCATGAAAAACTAAGTGCATGTAAATGGACTAGACATGGTCAGATCTGTCGCAAAATTCACAAGTAAACCTCTTATTGACTTACATGTCAATATCCAGTCATAGGGATAGTGACACGTACTGGCATCAAGGAAAGGACCTGTTTCAAACTTCATTTATTATGCCTCATATAAATATTTTTACCCCACTTGGCACCTTAGCGGACAAAAATATCTATAGTGAGGCATTTATGCTCCTCATAGCAAGTGACATCGATCTAAAAGTTCTTGTCTATATATATATATATAAAATACTATGGCTGTCCCCGACTAAGGATTTACATAGTCGAATCAGAATCGTCAAGTCCTTAATCATGTGTGTTTTTGTGCACGGCGATTGCGAGCCTTATTGTTGACCATTTTCTCTCTCGCCTGCCATTCACTGGTCTTGTGCAGAGTTTTTGCCATCCTGCCAACAACTGCATGCACGTCGTGGTTCCTCGCGGGTCTATTTCAAGTAGCCGGCTATTTAAAAATGATAAAATATTCTTTATGTGGTTCATCAACAATTTTGGATTTATTCACACACTAAAAATATTTATTGGAAGTTTTTTTTTCTTTTTACATGTTTATTTACAGCATTAAACGCAAAATCTATATTGTAATAAGCTGTATATGAACTTATGGGGAGAAAACTGGTAGTTCTATGTAAAATCAGATGTTGAGCACCCCCATATCGCCAAAATTGCATGATCCTTGTTTCGCTGCCAAGGTTCGACTGTGATATTGACAGTCGAATTAGGCTCCGCCCATCGAAGCATCAAATCTTCGACTATTCGGGATCAGCCCTAAAATATACATATTTACACACCCAGTTTTATTCTTTAAACATCATTGGTTTCATGGTGAATACAATTTATGGACTGTTGTGTTTTTACAGGTTCCACTACGCAGCTCGTATCTGGGATGGGGTAAAAAAGTCCTCGGCCCTCTCCGAATACAGCCGCCTGCTCTGCTGAGACCTCGGTTGAACTGCTGTATTATTTTATTGCTGTGCAAGCTCTTATGTCCCATAATCAGGTCACATAAAGAGGAATGTGTCTTTGAAAGACCGTGGTTTGCACCCTACATCAGGGACGAGGGAAAGTTGAAGCCCAGTCAGTGGTGAAGGGCAGATATGTGTGGTGGTGTTGGTGACACCAACTGCTCTCAACAGACTTTGGTGGGAATCCACTCTCACTGCTCCATGTCAGATAGTTGTGCATTCTCGCCCCTAGGGAAATGTAATGATCGAATTGTCACAGCTGCACCCTGTACCGCAGTGGTGAGAAAGAGAGAAAAAAACTGTTGGAGGAAAATGTTGGAGCAAGTTGTGCGCATTTTTTACTTTGGATGTCATGATTAACTGTGATATTGCAACTGTAGTTTTGGGTGAACAGATGTTGCATATGTGTTTTCTGAGAACATATATATCCTGTAAGTTTATTTTTATTTTCATCAATAAAAGACTAATCACTAATTACTCAGAAATAAAAGGAAGCTTGTGAAAACTTTTTTTATGTGTGGTTCTTAAGCTGCATAGTGCTTTTCGTTGCACAGGTTTGTTGTTTTCAAGAAAATGTTTTGTATTACATTTTTTGATATCTAGCTACTGAAATAGCTCAACAGACTGAAAGTATACATGCTGTATATCTTACCCAACTATATAGTAGGTGCTTGCAAGAATGGGTGATGTTTACCATGCTGACCTATCTCAAAAAAACATGTAATTTATATTTGCAAGGTAGAATGGAAGGCCTTTTAACAGTCAAATTGTGTCTGCCTTGTCTGGGAGCTGAAGTTAACCCTGAAACAAATCCCAGAACTGAATCTTAACCTAATCCTGGGTAGTGTGCCTCTTCTCAAGAGCATGTTTCTATTGTTGAACTTATTTATTCTAAGGCTTCTGTGCAACTTTTATTAGGTTAACTGGGTGATTATATATAAAAACATACAATCGATACCATGATATTAATTGCACTTTTGTGAATATACTGCATGTAAAAAGTATGAAGTGATAGTGAAGTGATAACGACAGATCAGTTTTAGTTAAACTGTAATCTTTTGTCACAACAGAAAGAGAAATGGGGGAGTTGTCTGAGGATGAAGGCAACGCCTTCTCAGGAGAGCTTCTTATAGCCGTAACAGATCAAACTAAAATTCAGTTGTGTTCTGCCATCACACAATGTTAATCTCCTTACACAGATTTTTGGGATTGTGCTTCTCCATAAAGGCAAGTTTTTGATCTATTTCTTTTTTCTTTTTTAAAATTTGCTCTTTAAGAAAAGATGGATTATTATTTAAAATTAATTTACTTCGGAGTTTAATTTGTTAAACTTATTTTATCCACCCCTTGGGGAAAAAAAGAGCTGATGTTTTTGACATATCTAAGTTTTGTGTTTCATCAGCCTACACTGCTGACCACTTGAAGTGGTCTGCAGTGTAGAGCGCTGAGAGTCCTTTTATATACAGGTGAGGTATTTTGTGGTGCATTGTTTTTATTGTAAAACTGCTTTGCAAGGCTCAGTTTAAAAAGCTTATTCTTTTACTGCAGGGGGTTCGAAAGTTGCTGATCTCAACATGAAATCGTGTGCTTTGGCTGAAGAGTGTTTTGAGGGCTCAGTCCACTTTGGAATCAACAGAACCGTCTTTGCCAGCAAGTGTTGCACCTCCGACCTCTGCAACGCCCAGCCTGCCACTGGTAACTTACCTTTATGTTTATATCTTCTATTGGTATTTAAATTTTGATGTGTCTTTGCACTCAGAGCTGTTTTTGTTGAAAAATTGGCGTCTAGTTGCATGCGCAAAAACTGTTTAACATTTAAAAACTACAAGTAGCAAGTGAAAACCCACAACTGTGAGAAAGAGAAAGAGAGAATCTCCAATCATGTTCTTAATCATGTTCCTGTATTTTGGCATAACTCTTTACATTTTGTATGTATGTTCATTTAAAGGCTGTTAAACTTGACAGCAGGGAAACGCCACCAAATGTCCACAGCCTGCTTGAGAAAAAACCTTTGAAAAAGGCCCTTAGAAAAAGATAATTGCAGTCACCCCTCCACCCCCCTCTACCTCCCCAAACAATATGAACAATATATGTTCTATGTTACAGAACCCAGTAAATCCAATCCCAATGGTAAAAAGTGCTTCAGTTGTGAAAGTAAAAAGTGCACCGCAACTCTAAACTGCGAGGGGAATGAGGACCACTGCATCTCAGCAGCAGGTAACAGGCCTATGACATTAAACATCTTTCCTCAGCTCAGAGGGAAACTTTGTGATTTTACTTGATGTATTAAAACCTAAAGCTCAGACATTAACATTATTTTCATTCTCTCAGTGAACACAGGAGGTGTACAGACTAACGTGAAAGGCTGTGCTTCTAAGCAGATCTGCTTAAATATGGCAAATTCACAGATTTCAGGAGCCATTGGAGCAGAAATTAGCTGCTGTCAGGGTGACTTCTGCAAAAGTGCCAGCAGCACATGTCCTGGTCTTCTGCTCCTGGTGGCACCGTTGTTCTCTTTGGTCATGTTCTCTTAACTGGTGGAGTTGCCAGCATCACTGCTCAGCGTTTCCTCTCATCTCTGTATGGCCTCTTAGTGCTCCCACACCTTTTTTTTTATCCTTTCAAGCGACAAGTAAGGAAGTAGAAAGTTTAGCGTTTTCCTTAGTCTCGTGCCTCTTACAGATTTAACCTGCTTATTTTCTTTTTTGCTTGTTGCCTACAAAGATCACATTGAATAGCTCTTTGTTTTTTCTTAAGTAACACGAGGAAAATATAAAAAAAACTGTTTTTCTGTTTTTAATTGTTTTTAAAGTTTTCAGAAATATTTTGATGTTACTGATGAAAAGCAAAATAAATATCTTTCTATGTATTTCTGTGATCTTGTCATCGTGTTTCAGTCTCCATTAAACTATGAAAATGCAAAATGTACTCCTGAGATTTATTATAGGGGAGAGCGGGGTATGTTGCACTTTTCACACTGTCTAATATTTGCTGAGCACCGTACATCGATGGTACAAATGTCATACCAAATGAAAGAATGAAGTCTTGGGAAGAAGTTTTGTATTCATTACGTCTTCCTATCTTATCTCATTATGGAACTTTAGACGGTTGAATAGAGAGTGTGCACTTGTGACAATTTGCCCCATCGGTAGGTAAGTTGTCACACTGGATTATCAAACTTATAAGTTAGAACACTTAATTGTGAATATTGATTTCAATTTCAAATTGTAACCAGAACTAAAAAATAAAATCCATCAACAATCAAGCCTAGAAAATTTGGAAAATAAATAATTTAATTAAAAACAAAAATGTTGGCAGAGCACACTTTAACCTCTTTACTTTGAACTTTAAAATCACTCTGGAGTGCAAATAGATCTATGGTAGTTGAATGTAATGTTGCAGATAACTTGCTTAATGTTTAAATTCTTAACTAAACAGATGTGGTGTTAAACTTAGAATAAGTCCTTAGCTAAAATCCTTAGCTGTACTTCTGATTGATTTGTTCTTCAACTACACCTGCCTGACTGCCTTTAACATTATGTCAGGTATTGTACTGTCATTCTCTGTTCTTCTGTTGGTAATTTTCTTCCTTCCTTCAAAAACACATTCCTCCTTGCAATTACAAATTAATTACAAGCTTGTTATATGTGTTTATTTGTACTAGGGGAACTAATCACATGTGACGACTTGCCCCAAAGTCATTGAGACAATTTGCCCCAAACTGACATGTGTGCAAATGTTGGCTAAATCTCAAGGTTAGCTTAACATAGCACTTCAGCTGAAGTATCAAAAGACACGTTATTGTCTCTTCTACTTTGTGCAAAGTTATCATTTTGAACATTCACACCTAATAAGGATGGAATACAGAAAATGTAAAGTGCAAGTGTTTTACTTTTGAAGCCAAAAAATAAAACAATTGTGCTCACCTCAGATTAAAGTGACCTTATGAACACAGAAAAATGGCTATTTGAATTTTGTGATAGAGCCTCTAGTGTTGGAGTTATGAGCAGTGTGACAACTTATACATGAGACAACTTACCCCGCTCTCCCCTACTCAGTTTTAAAGTAGGTTCATGGAATTGTTTACAACAAGGCGTTCTGCTCAAGACCAGCCACCAAACTCTGTTAGCTTAAATGTTTACTTCAATGTCAGTTATTATGGGCTGCATCCCACTGTGACAGAAGGTCACAAAGGTCCACGTCTGATTCAGGCCCACAGTATGTAGGCTGCTTGCTGATTCCAGACTCTGATTTCGGGTTGAAGGCATCCCTGAAGTTGTGTGAAAAGTTTTATGTGATTAAGCACTTCAGACATGTGTCCTAAAACATTTCAATATACAATAAATGCAGTGATTCAGTCTTGGCAACAATTGGCAGTTTGTATAAGGCACAATATGAGCCACAGAGAATGTGAATTCTTTATTATTTTAGGGGGGGGGGGGGGTTCTGCAAAGTTGCGTGTATTCAAAAACAAAAAACAAAACAAAACATCAAGCAGATGTAGTGAATAAATGATTGTAACTGATCCACTTCCCACTGTTGAAATGTCTATGCTCAACAGACTAGAACTGAGATTGAAGGTGTGGCTGAAATCTGCCAGACAAAAGCCACCAGCCAAGTGGTGTAATGTTTAATTACAATTTTGGGATTTAGTGCAATGATTTGTTTGTTTATTTATTTTAAACAAGTTAAGGCCTTGATGACGAAATTGAAGTGTTGTCTGGCATGAATAACACAGATACTCAGCAATGCCCCTAGATTACTATCAAAGTGGTGAGATAAATACATGTGTAAAATTCAATTCAATTCAATTCAATTTTATTTATATAGCGCCAAATCACAACAACAGTTATCTCACAGTGCTTTTTATAAAAGAGCAGGTCTAGACCATACTCTATGATGCTATTTACAGAAGCCCAACATTTCCCACCAAGAGCAAGCACTAGGCGACAGAGGCAAGGAAAAACTTCCTTTTAAGAGGCAGAAACTTCGAGCAGAACCATGGCTCAGGGTGGGCGGCCATCTGCCTCGACCAGTTGGGGTGAAGGAGAGAGAGGGAGAGAGAGAGAGAGAGAGAGAGAGAGAGAGAGAGAGAGAGAGAGGGCAGGAGAGGAACAGAGAGAAAAAGAGAGGGATGGAAGGAGAGAGAGAGGGGAGGGAGGCAGCCTACACAATATACAAACAGAGGTACAGACAGTAAAGGTGATGTTGCTATAGACTAAATGAAAAATGGTACAGATATTTATAGTAGTGTTAATGGTAACAGTCGTAATGTTAATGATTATAATAACAATAATAACAATAGGACTAGTAACAATAGTCGTTGCAGCAGAGGGTGTCGAGCAGGAACACAGGGGCAGCAGGTGACCCGCAGCCACAGATCCAGACTCCACAGCTCCAGAGCCAGAAAACCTGCAGGAAGTGATAGGAGGAGAGAGGAGAGGGACGAGAAAACACAAGACTACCGGAAAGGGGAGAAGTTGTGTTAGTAACATGCAATAATGGGATGAGGTTGCATACAGAGGGAGAGAAAGTAGAGGAGAGAGGAGCTCAGTGCATCATAGGAAATCCCCCGGCAGTCTAGGCCTATAGCAGAATATCTAAGGGATGGTTCAGAACTCACCTGAGCCAGCCCTAACTATAAGCTTTATCAAAGAGGAAAGTCTTAAGCCTACTCTTAAATGTGGAGATGGTGTCTGCCTCCTGAACCCAAACTGGAACCTGGTTCCACAGGAGAGGAGCTTGATAGCTGAACGCTCTGGCTCCTAGTCTACTTTTGGAGACTCTAGGAACCAGAAGTAACCCTGCATTCTGGGAGCGCAGTGCTCTGGTGTGGTAGTAAGGTACTATGAGCTCTTTAAGATAAGATGGTGCCTGGCCATTAAGAGCTTTGTAGGTAAGAAGAATGATTTTAAATTCTATTCTGGATTTTACTGGAAGCCAATGCAAAGAAGCTAAGACAGGAGAAATATGATCTCTTTTCCTGGTTCCTGTCAGAACACGTGCTGCAGCATTCTGGATCAGCTGAAGAGTCTTAACGGACTTTTTCGAGCAGCCTGATAATAAGGAATTGCAGTAATCCAGCCTAGAAGTAACAAATGCATGGACTAGTTTTTCTGCATCATTTTTAGACAGGATGTTCCTGATTTTCGCAATATTACGTAGGTGAAAAAAGGCGGTCCTTGAAATTTGCTTAATGTGAGACTTAAACGACATGTCCTGATCAAAGATAACTCCAAGATTCCTCACAGTGGTGCTGGAGGCCAGGGCGATGCCATCAAGGGAAACTATATCTTTAGATAATGCGTCACGGAGGTGCTTAGGCCCCAGAACAATAACTTCAGTTTTATCTGAGTTTAACATTAGAAAATTACAGGTCATCCAGGTTTTAACATCCTGAAGGCACATTTGAAGTTTAGCTAACTGATGAGTTTCATCTGGTTTGATCGATAGATATAACTGAGTATCATCAGCATAACAATGAAAGCTTATGGAATATTTCCTGATAATATTGCCTAAAGGAAGCATATATAAAGTGAAGAGGATTGGTCCGAGGACAGATCCTTGAGGAACTCCATGACTAACTTTGGCATGCATGGAGGACTCATCGTTAACATGTTAACATGTACAAACTGAAATCGATCTGATAAATAGGACTTAAACCAGCTTAGAGCGGTTCCTTTAATGCCAATGAAATATTCCAGTCTCTGCAATAGGATCTGATGGTCAATGGTATCAAATGCAGCACTAAGATCTAATAAAACCAGTACAGAGACAAGTCCTTTGTCTGATGCAATAAGGAGGTCGTTAGTAATTTTCACCAGTGCTGTCTCTGTGCTATGATGAGCTCTAAATCCTGACTGAAAATCCTCAAATAAACTATTGCTTTGTAGAAAGTCACACAGCTGTTTAGCTACTGCTTTCTCCAGAACCTTAGAGAGAAATGGAAGGTTAGATATAGGTCTATAGTTGGCTAAAACATCCGGATCAAGTTTGGGCTTTTTCAGGAGAGGTTTAATTACAGCTACTTTAAAGTACTGTGGTACATAGCCTGCTGATAGAGATAGATTGATCATATCTAGTATAGAAGTGCTGACTAAGGGTAAAACATCTTTAAGCAGCCTAGTCGGGATGGGGTCTAAGAGGCAGGTTGATGGTTTAGATGAAGAAATTATTGAAGTTAGTTGGTAAAGATTGAGGGAAGCAAAACAGTCTAAACATTTATCTGGTTCTACAGCTGTTTCTAAGGTTCCTGAGTTAAGAGATAAGTTGGTGCCAGTTGAGGGAAGGTCTTGGTGAATTTTGTCTCTAATAGCTAGAATTTTATCATTAAAGAAGCTCATGAAGTCGTAACTACTGAGAGCTATGGGAATACTTGGCTCAATAGAGCTGTGACTCTCTGTCAGCCTGGCTACAGTGCTGAAAAGAAACCTGGGGTTATTCCTATTTTCCTCTATTAATGACGAGTAGTACGCTACTCTGGCATTACGGAGGACCTTCCTATAAGTTTTAAGACTATCTTGTCAAATTAAATGAGAATTTTCCAGTTTGGTGGAACGCCAATTCCTCTCAAGTTTCCGCGATATTTGCTTTAATTTGCGAGTTTCAGTATTATACCATGGAGCTAACCGTCTTTGTTTTATTATTTTCTTTTTTAGAGGGGCAACAGAGTCAAGTGTCATTCGCAGCGAGCCTGCAGCACTTTGAACAAGATGATCGATTTGGGAGGGACTGAAACTAGCATAGGAGTCCTCCGTTACTT